GGGCCCATTCAGGGGTACAACCTTTCAGGACCTCCGTCGTACGAGTTCGAGTGCCTTGAAACATGGAGTCATGTGCCCAGCTTTGAGACATAACATGCAACTTCCTAAGCATGGTCCTGTACCAGAACCGAGATCGTGGCAGGCTAAGGGTCCACGAAGAAGAGCAGAGGTAGGGTGGCATGTGTGGCACATCGGGCGTATCGGGCGTATGTAGTGTGCGTGGCGTCAGCGTTAGACACGGCTGGAATCCATCCTTGCCCCTTCATGCACAGCTGGGCTTTGGTTTCAGAAAGTAAGGCTCTGACAACAAAGCCTGAGTTCGACCCTGAACCCTAAACTTGAGCTTGGGTTCGGAGCGGCAAAATGCCAATCGGAAACGTCACACGAGTCAAGGGCCCATCAGGCGCCAAGGCCAAATCGGAGCTACTTCCAGAGATCGAAAGAAGCAAAGCGTGGCCAAAAGCATGCCCTAAATACCTCTTCGGGCCTGTGTGGGTTCGCAGGTCCCGTGTATGGCCCTGCGTGAGCCCTGTGTAGGACCAGATCAAGCTCCCCAGACTAAGTATTCTTTAGCAGGTTTTGGCCACAGCTGACCCGAAACAGAGCTCTCGTTGGGATGTCTGTCATTGCCCTGGAGGGGATCATCTAGTGTCGCCTTTGCTGCTTAGCATCTGCCGCCCGCGCTGTTCCTTTTCCATTGCCCCCCCAGGTAGCACACACCTGCAAGGTTGATGAAGTCCACTTGGGGCAGGGCTCAGTGAGGCTCTTCTTGCCAACCCTTTCTTAGATTGGTCCGTTTGCGCCGGTCGTTCCCAGCATTCAGATGCCATGGTCACTTCGCATCCTTGGTGTGGCCTTGCACAGCTCAGCTACGAGACGCCCGGTGGACAGCAACTTGACTTTGAATCGAAACAGCGGGTTGGCCTTAGTTGGCAAAAGGCAGCCAGGGCGAGGACTGATCTCTCCTGAATGAGCTCGCAGGCTGGCGTGGCTGGCGTTTGGCCACGCGCGGCCATTCAGGAGTTGATGGGGATCTGTCTGCCCTTTGCAACAGTGACGACACCCACTTGATTGTGGCCTCTGGGCCGATTGTTGTGGCTCTCTGTGTTCCTTGCCCATTTCCGTGCGCCGAATCTTCGGGCATGCTATGACATCCATCAAGGCCCCGTGGACCCCGGGCATCTCACCAAGCTGCTCTTTCTACCTCAAACCCGAAAACCCGAAAATATTGATTTCAAAATCCGCGAGATTTGCCAGCGCGTGCAAAAGAGAACCTGCCACGCCCCTAATATCCGTGCCCTAGCAGCCTAAGACCTGAGCAGCGCTTTCTTCATAAGGACGCAACAGGCGAGTGGCCGTGCAGCACTTGAAGTGTTAAGACTGACAGACTCCTCCCTCACTTTTGCGCCTTGGCCTTAAGGCCACATGTCGTTCCACACACTTGCCTTGGATCGAGGCCTTTCTCCTGCTTCAAGTAGATCGTCTAGTTCGCTGTTTTGCCTTGTCTTGCCACCATGTAAACTTTATGTAAATCTTGTCAACTCCACACGGTTTTTGTCACATTGACGTCGACGGCGGCGACGGTAGTGTCAGTAGCGACAGCTGACTCAAATGAAGGGGTCGACACCGCCCTCACTTAAAGCCCGCTACCTGCCTTGAGGGTTGGATGAAGGGCCATATGTTCGCTCTCACTTCAAGTTGACTCTTGCCCTTTGAGTTGAAGCAGCGCTGGCATGGGGCTGTTGGGCTTTGTCTGGGGCTTTCCGCTGCATGGCTCACATGAGGCGAGAGGTCTGCGCTGGCCTGTGCTTCCCAAGCTCGCTCCAAAAAGCCGGTTTCAAGCTGGAGAAGAGCTTGCCAGGCGGTGCCAGACAGGACATGCCGCTCATCGTTTCGCATCGCCATGCATGTTGCCCTTGGAGGTCACATGGGCCCCCGCCCCCTTTGAACATCACTGCAAAGAGCCCTGCAGATGTGCTGCCGTGTCAGTAGTTGTCCGAACGTCCTGAGAGTGTTTCTACTAGGCTGGGCTCTATCATCTCAGCCCTCCCTGAATGAAACTTGCACAGCGTGTCCTGCTGGAAACTCCAGTCCCCAACGGCTTGTGGACGAGGCCCACATTTCAAACTACAGTTTCTCAGGGATGACTTGCGAATGCTTGTGTGCCGCTTGCCAAGTGTGGCGGTCGTGGCCTGGCGCTTCAGGACCTCTCGTTTCTTGGCAGAAGCCAGCAGTTAGATCAGTTTGCGTGAGCACGCTCGACGGATGCCCAGCTCCCTCGTGCATGTGCGCATTTTCACAGCGGGCCTCACGCCCCGAGTTGCGTGCCGGGGGACCGAGATGGTTGACATGGGGCTGACGCAAGCAGAAGCGAGCATAGGCTTAGACAGTCGCTTGTGTTCGGCTCCTGACCTGCAATATGTGAGCGCGCAGTGTTCGGTGCCCTGAAGGTGACACGTCAAGCAGGCGTCAGTCCCCTCTACCTATCTCACCCCATTGACAGGTAAAAAGCCGGTCGTGGCAGAATTCGGCACCATCTGAAGCTCGGCCAGCGCATAGCTCGCCTTTACTCGGTTGAATTGAAATACGACTTGCTTCAGTGCTCCGACTGCTCCCCTTGTGTTGTTTTGTCCTTGCGCCTGCAGAAGGTAGGGAAGGCGTTTCTTCCAAAAACCTCGGGTCATCCCCTGCTTGCAGTACACGGCCACTACACGTTCAAGAGCCACTTTTCATCTGCGAAGATGCTCTAAGATGCTCCAAACAAGCAAACAGCAGCTTCGGCCTTGGTGCGTTAAACCACTGGTCGCAGAAGCCAGTGGCGGCTGCTCTGCCATGTGCGCCTGGGCGCTCCCTGCTAGGCCCCATAGGCGCAGCCGGAGAGCCTCTCCTCTACTAGTCCCCCTTGCCCCCTATGGTTCCCTTTGCTTGCCCTCGCCCTGCTCAAGCACTGCCGCATCTACATGCACGTGCCGAGCCCCACCTCGCTCCCTTGTCCCCTTGTCCCGCTGCCCTGAGGCCTTGAGGCCTTGAGCCGCTTGAGCGCTTTTTGCACCTCTCGGAAGTTTCTTGGGGAGTGTTTGGGTGTAGGGCAGGGTTTAGAGAACGTGTTCAAGTCGGTCACGACATGCAGAGCATCATCCCTGCTGGAAGTTGGCTAGACGAAGTTTCCAGGCAGCGTGCTTTCAAGCCAACGCACGTGCGCTTTGCCATCGCGACGCACTCTCACCGGGCATTGGCCTGTGCGATGAGGTTGGGCTGTGCTTCTCGAGGGCTCTACGAGAAAGCAGAACAAACCGATGTGGTTTACAAGAGACACGAAATTATGGCGCTTTTCTTCGCATTCCCACCCAAGGGCATGTTAAGCATTACTCCAACAAGTGTCATGTGAATCATGAGTGCGTCAGTCGGGTAAGTCGGGCAGCTTGAGAAGTCAAAACAGGTGGAGACGACCAGGTCCGAGTAGAGAAGCGCAAAAAGCGCAAGCCAGAGCCACCCAAAGGAATTTACGAGCGAAAATGGCGGTTGGGCGGTTGTGCCGCTGCCTAACTCGGTGTGCTACAGCTGCTACAGTGGCGCATCCACACGACAAGTCATGTTCAGCACACTGCTTGCAAACACAGCTTGCGTCTGCAGTTCGGATTGGCCAGGCAGGTACATATTGTATGAGGTAGGTGCCAGGCCCTATGGGTTCCGGCGGGTCACACCTCAAAAGCGCGCACTTGCAAAACTTGCTAGAAAGGGGGGTCGCAAGTTCCAGCTTCGTTCCGCCTATGCCTCTGTCCTCGAACCCCCAGACCTTCGGACACTTTGCTGTGACTCAAGGTGCATGATCGCTGACTCAGAAGACACTCCAGTGCTCTAGATGTAACATGCATTGCGTTCCGACGTTCCGAGGTCAGCAATAACTCGGGCCCAAGAAGGCCTATTTTCTGAATTCTGAAGAGGCAAATTCCACGAAGACCACCATACGAGCACATGAACTCAGCGTTGCGGAGTCGCGGTGTCCGCAACGACCTCGCTTGCGCCTGGCGATCAGCGTTTCCAGCTCTGTGTAGCAAAGGGGCCAGCCTCGGCCAGCATGGGCCCCCTCTGAGACTCTTGGGCCATATGAAGCATATGAAGCATATGAAGCATATGAAGCATATGAAGCATATGAAGCATATGAAGCATACGAAGCCCAAGGGAGAGCACTGACCCCAAGTCTCGCCAGAAGTGCGCGAACTTGTGCGGCGGCTCGGCGCGCAGCTCCCGCAAGCCCTACCATCAGGTCTTTGGGTAGAAGCTTCGCGTGCGACCTCTGCATGCGCGGACTTCGTGCCCTGACACCTCCCTTTGTTGCAACACTCGCCTGAAAAGACCCAAGCGCACGTAAGTTTCAGATGCCCCCGCCGCACTCAAAAGGTTGCCCTTAGCGGCGCTTGCTTGATACCAGAGAGCAAGACCTCACAGGTTGGGTGATTCTTTGTCTTTGCATACGTGTATGAGGATGCAGAGATTGGCAGGTCAGCGCAGTTCATATATGCAGTGAGGCTGATTGCGCACTCGCACGTGTCCATTTCTCAGAGCTGAATAAGAGAGCGAGCGGTCATGACTGGACGTGTACATGTGCCCCAACAGTGCACGAACGACACAGTCCCGAGGCTTTGAGCAGTCATTGGAGGCGTTCTTGCTTGAAACCCTCGCCGTCTCCCAACGAGCGGACATGGGTGCGGACTCTTTCCGATGGGTATGACATCCACTGATACGCTGGGGTCCTCGCTGAGCTGGGAAGGCAGTAGATGTCAACCGATTTCACGGCACCGTTTCACCAAGTGACCTTTCACCAAGTTTGACCAGTGCTCCAGTGCTTGAATCTTTGAGAACTTAGCGGAAGACCTGCAGCCCGACCTGGCCTTTCACTGCTCCACTTGCGCAACCCTGTCACATGCTGTACCTGCTGTCACGTGCTTCGCCTCCAGAGTAGTGTGTCATGTTTAGGGCCACCCTCGAATCTGGGCTGCTCAGTGATTGCCGCATTCTCGGCATGTCGTCGGCCTAGCTGCAAGAGCCGTTGGAAGGTCACCTAGTGATGTGACATGGTTTGGCTTGCTTTTCGAGCTAGTTGCGAGCTTCGATCCCCCAGCACGAGCAAAGTCGCCAGCTAGTGCGACAGCGTCGAGGCCGGACTGCTGCGGCCACATCCATTGCTGCTCCACTTCGGCAACGGCGCCCAGGCATCTACCATTCACGCAAAAGCCGGTGCATTGCGCGTGAGGCAGAAACTGCACAAGCTCCCGCACATCTTGGTGCTTGGTATCTGATCTCGCCAACATACCGTGTGACAATGCCCGTCATCTCACCGTGTTGCGCTCTCGCAAGTAGACCCTACTACTCGCTTCATGACGGCTCCACTAAAAACCGTTCAGCAGACGCCTGTTATGCAAGAGACTACGGGATCTGGAGTCTCTTCTGCCACGGTTCCGTCAGAAGACCAGGACCTTCGACCATGTGCATGATCAGCCTGGCACACTCTCGTGAGCTGAGAGGGGCCGTGCAGAATACGGGATCATCAGTCAGTTGGCGATGTGCTCCGCCGCATTGAAGCCAATATCTCCCGGTCCTCCCGCCTTCGGTTGCTTGGGGTGTTCGGTGTGTGAGCATCGTCAATACCGTACGGCCGTTGTCCGAAAATGCACAAAGCTGCACAGACACCACACTTGACCCAACTCGCCTTTGTTTCCTGTCTGCAGCTCTTGGCGCTGACAAACAAGCCGCCGGGCAAGCAGCAAGAAGTCGTTCCTCGTCGGGTCGGTTCAGGAGGTAGAAATTGCATGTTGGGCACTCGCCTGCATCAGAGACTTCTGCTGAAAGTCTCTCCTTTGCCACATACCTCTGCAGATGCTGGAAGCATCTCGCCTTGGACCCTGAGATGCTTGAGCTGAGCTCAGTTCAGCTCGCAACTCAACCCTAAACCCTAAACCCTAAACCCTAAACCCTAAACCCTAAACCCTAAACCCTAAACCCTAAACCCTAAACCCTAAACCCTCAACCCTAAACCGGTCCTGGGCTGGCTCCGGTGGCTCCGCCTCAGCCACATGTCTGCGGAAAGAGCAGCTGCGGCGTGTGCCGCTGGCGCCTGTGCACGTCAGCGCGCTCTGCGAAGGCTAGAGAAACGGGTTGCGTCAGATTCTACAGGTTCTAGGTGCTCTGATCTCAGGTTTGCTGAAATGGATCAATCAGACCAGAAGCTACTCATGCCCGATGTCTACAGCAATACCCCAGGTGTGAAGCCGTGGCTGCATGCAGACGGTAACGGCACGAAAGGCCCCCCCCCCCCCTGTCTTCGATTCTTCACCAATGGCAAGCAATCCATAAACTTTAAAAAACCCTCTAAACTTCAGGATGGCACTGCGCACTCAGTAGATTTCCAGTTTGGCGCCACTTCTCAAAGACCTCAACACAAGGCGGACGCAGACTGAAGAAACGGCGCTGGTAGAGATCGTGGACGCCGAGTCACGAGAGCTCTAGTTCTTCCCGGCTTCTCGGTGTGTGGGGGGGAGACAACGCAATTTTGACAAGTCTGGGCCCTGCTTTTGTTGCAGCCATCCTTGACCGGCAGGCTCTTGTTGCCTCGAGCCTTCTGCATGCGGCATGGGTGAAACCCTAGACCCTAAACCATAAAGACCCCAAAAACCCCTAAAATCTCAAAAACCCTAAACCGAAATGAGCTCATTCACCAGAGCACAACGTGCTCCTTCACGCAGCAATCGTCGTTGCTCGCTGAAAGTCCCAACTCTTTCACGTCCACTTTTGCGAACTTTCACGGGGCCTCTGGATTCTTATATAGACATCCCCTAAACCCTAAACCCTAAACCCTAAACCCTAAACCCTGAATCCTCAGGTGAGTTTGTCTGAGGCCCTTGTTTGTGACAGCCCTTCTTTGGAATGCCACTTTTGTTTGTTGAAGTGAATCGAAGAAAGGACTGGAAGCCTAGGGTTTCGGGTTTAGGGGTTAGGGTGTAGGGTTTAGGGTTTAGGGTTTAGGGGCCAGACTCGAAAGATACTTGAACGGTGAGGAAGACATAAAGATATAGCGCGTAGTGATCGACTTGAAAGAATGGAGATAAAAACTGAAAGGCCGGCTTAAGGCGGAAGGTTGTTGTGGATGGAGGAATTCAGTTTAACATTAAGGCTATCCAGTTGCCACCCAATTGGGAGTTTGCAAAGATAAGGGTACCTGATTGGGGGTCCCTATTATTTATGCTCGTAAACTCCCAATTGGGTCCATGCGGCTACAGGAGAGGCAGTCTGTGGGTCAAGAGTAACCACAGAGTCCACAGAGCACAGACATAACATCAGAACTTTCGCCACGCCTGAGCTGGAAAGGGGACGAATACCCTAGTAAGCCACGTAGGCAATGCGCGAGGAGCGCATGCAACGGACGCCGCCAGACGCCCGTTTCTGCGGTTTGGCGGATGCACGGATCTCAGAACATTTCACTTGGCGGGTTTGTTTCCAAGCATTCCTTCTGGTTCTTGACAATCAAGTTGCGAGTTTTTGACATATTGAGCCTATGAGTCGCTGATGTGCATGGCCCCCAGGGTTTAGGGTTTAGGGTTTAGGGGAGCAACCAGAGCCCCTGTCCTAGGTGCTTTCAATTCTCTTCTATTTCGACCTCCCGGCAAGTTTCGGCGTCGCCATTCCTCCGGTCTTTTCCCCGACCCACAGAGAAGTGTCCGTCTGTACTAGTGCCAGAGGTGCCACCGTCTGAAAACCCTACGTGATGTTTTGTTTTCTTGCGAGCTTTCTTGCTGCCCGCATGACACCGTTTGTCTGATATAAACCAACCACGCAGGTGCCCAAGTGGACGTGAATGTTTCCGATTAAACAAGTGGCCCACTGCTATGCAAGGACGGTGACAGACGTTGGCAGGGAGTGAAGGCGGAAGTCGTATCATCGAGCGGTCCCATGGGGTGGGGGAGGGGAGCTGTGCGTGTCAAAGGCATCCAATCATGCGTTGTCAGCCTCTCTGTTGACAGGAATTCCAATCGGATGCTTGAGGCAATCATAATCTCGGTGTTAACAGGAATGGTAAAATGGGGGGCTTGCGCAGGCAGAGGCTTCTTAAATTGCTAGGAGGAGCGGTGATTCGCGAGGCCCACGGGATTTGTGTGTGGTCTCTGGGGAACGCTCCGGGCATGCAAATAACCCTAAAGCCTCCCCAAGACTTACGCTGCCTTCACGCCTTTGGTCAAAGCTTCAAGGTCTTTCTGTCAACAGCACTGCTGTTCCAACTATTCTTCGGGCTGTTCCGAACTGCGTTCAAGGTCTGAGTATGGCATACTTACGAGAGCGCCCCGTCCAAAACCAGCGTGAGCTGTAGGACTCCTCCCGACTGTGGCCAGAGTTGTGCTCTTCCCTCACAAGCCAGTTTAAGCGTGGGCAGGGACGATCACTTCCAGTCCTTCCTGTTGCCCCAGATCAAGCTCGAAAGGTTGCATTTGTTGCCAAAGTTGTAACTCGATATGAGTCTGATATGAGGTGTGGAGATTTCAACGCCGGTGTTGAAATGCCCATTTCGAATGGGCATGGTTTGATGTGTGCAGCTATGCAAATAGAGTGCTGCGGGATCCCCGTTGACCGGCATGTGAAAAGCAGTGCCTCGCTGAACCCCAACTGGACTTTGCCTAGAAAAGGGTGTGCAACTTGGGGGTGCAGTGGAAAAGTAGCAGCACGGGTGGCAGATGCTACATGCACAGTTCGGCTGTCAAAGAGCGACATTACGTGCCGGGCTGCTGCTCAGAAAGGCACGGGTGGGACCAAGCCGAGGAACAGTGCTTGCGCTCAGCAGGTGACAGCAAATGCCAAAGCGAAGGCATGCAGAGTGTGTCGGCCAGCGAACTCAGCCACCCGCTCACTGCTTCTCTTGCTCTGCGAGAGAACTTCGACCTTGGTCGTAACACATAGTTGTCAGAACAGGACTATCCGTTCAAGCATCCAGACACCAAGCGTGCCAACCCGGCTAAGCGTGTGAGCGGTTCTGTGTTTTTTGTCAAGTCTGCTCCCTCCACGACCTGAAAGCTTCCAAGGCTGCAGCCTTGCAGCTCCTGCAAGAGCCCGCAAGCACCGCACTCTGAACTCTGGATCCTTTCTTTGAAACCTCTTAAGATCAGCTTCCTTACGAGCACAATTTGGGTTGGGGCATCGATCGGGGTGCATGGGCTTTCGTAGGGGCCTTAAGCGAGGGGCCCGTGAGGGACCTGCGCCCGCTTGCAAGCAGCGGAGGAGCCTTGCCAGGCAGGCAGTGTCGCGCAGATTTCCCCCATGTTCGGCAGAGTTTGGCAGGGACATCATCTGGGTTTGTCTGAGTCATCTCGTGGCCCTGAAGGTGGCTTCTTAGCAAAGTCACGCTTACGACGGTGCCTGCGTCAGCTGGTGTTCCCAGCATTCAGAGGCCGTGGTCACTTCACATCCATAGTATGGCCTTGGCCAGTTCAGCTTCGGGACGCCTGGAGGACAGCAACTTGAAACATGTGGCTTACGACAGTGCCTGCGTCAGCTGATGTTACCAGCATTCAGATGCCATGGTCACTTCGCATCCTCGGCATGGCCTTGCTCAGTTCACATTCGAGACGTTTGGTGGACAGCAACTTGACTTTGAATCGAAACAGCGGGTTGGCCTTAGTTGGCCGCAGCCCGGGCGAGGACTGATCTCTCCTGAATGAGCTCGCAGGCTGGCGTGGCTGGCGTTCGGCCACGCGCGGCCATTCGGGAGTTGATGGGGATCTGTCTGCCCTTTGCAACAGCGACGACACCCACTTGATTGTGGCCTCTGGGCCGATTGTTGTGGCTCTCTGTGTTCCTTGCCCATTTCCGTACGCCGAATCTTCGGGCATGCTATGACATCCATCAAGGCCCCGTGGACCCCGGGCATCTCACCAAGCTGCTCTTTCTACCTCAAACCCGAAAACCCGAAAATATTGATTTCAAAATCCGCGAGATTTGCCAGCGCGTGCAAAAGAGAACCTGCCACGCCCCTAAAATCCGTGCCCTAGCAGCCTAGGACCTCAGCAGCGCTTTCTTCATGAGGACGCAACAGGCGAGTGGCCGTGCAGCACTTGAAGTGCTAAGACAGACAGACTCATCCCTCACTTTTGCGCCTTGGCCTTAAGGCCACATGTCGTGCCGCATCATATGCCGCCTGATTGGCGCTCCTTACTATAAGGGGATCCGATTATTTGGGGACCTACATTGGGTGCCCCGAAGTTCGGAAACCCCCAAGAAGGGGGGCTCAACTGACTCACAGCCCTCGGTTTTCTGTTGCTTCAGGTCG